GGGCGGCCAGGCCCCAGCAGCTCTGCCCCCTTGGCCCACACTCGGAGAGCCCGGGCCGCGCAGCACCAGAGCAGCCACAAACACTGCTCAAATCCCGCCTGGCCCTGGGCCCGCACACCTCGTGCCTCAGCACAGCAGCCAGGGCAGCCACCAAGCCAGCCCATGATGGCTTTTGTTGTATTGTATTTTTTTTTTTATTTTACAAATTCAAGTGCTACACTTGATGCTGAGTTTACACTTTATACTTGATGGAATGTATGGTTTGTTCGGGAAGCTGCACTACAGCGGTGCAGAGCTCGCAGCAGCTGGCGGTCCAGGAGAGGCTCCCCCAGGCCCTGCCACGAAGGAGCCGGCCGCGAGAGCTCGGAGCAGCCGTGCCCAGCCAAGGGCTGGCCTCGAAGCGCCCTTCCCCTCAGCTTTGCTAACAGCGTAAGGAGAAAAGGACAAGCACAGAAATTCATAGTACAGCACAGGCGTGAGCAGTTCACGCTCCCTGGATAGTCAGGTGTCCCAGTGCCACTGCGGGTGTTTGCTGGCAGTGTTTTTGAAGGAAACGTGATGGTTTTGTTCAACAGCAACCTTCTGTACAGGCAGAAAACAATTTCTGCTTGAAAAAGTTGTAAGATATAATCTGTTTGAGTGGGTCAGCTCCTGTGAACCTCACTGTGTGTGTTAATATGACAAGAAAAACTAAATCCCAGTCCTGTTTGTATTTGTACTACTGCTTGTTTGCTACAGTAGCTTTAATGGTTTCTAGAGATGTAAGTATGTGTTCAAGCAGGTAGCGTAGCTTTAGCCTACAGCCTGGTGTAGGATTTAATGCCTTTTTTCAGGTGTCCTATCCAGTTTGGCTCTGTTCGTAAGTCATTGAAGTCACGCTGGGATGTTGCAACCCGTGAAGTGGATCTCACAAAGTGATGTGCAGTATAATTAAGTGACTGTAGCTCTTCGAGTAGGTTTTGGTCAGCACAGAAGACCGTTGGCGTGTACACCTGCAGTATTTGCAACCCGCTGTTCCTTTGGTACACGGAGAAAAAAAGAAAAAAGACCAATCTGACTAAAGCTGTGTAGTGACAACCCAATGATCCTAATGTTTTCTGAAGCAAAACCCAACTTCTCTAACTTATTTTCACATGTTTACAGGCAAACTGCTATTGCAAACAGTATATTTTCTAACACTAGCTTACAGAGCATTATTTTGCTGTCATCTAGTGTAAAGTCAACTCCTACTAACGTGTAAAGTTGTTCCGGTTGTACAGAAGTTATCTGTTGTTTAAAATGAACGGTTTAAAAAAAGTGCAAATGGGAAGTACGTGTCGGTGTTTGTATGGGTCTCTTTAGAATAAAATGCGTTTGAAGGTACTTGAACCCGCCCACGCGTTGTGCGGGATGGGGCGGCAGCGCGGGGCGCCCAGAGCAGCGGGTGCTGCCGCAGAGGGGAGGCAGCGCCTGGCACGGGGCGACGGGATTGAGCACCAATAACGAGGGTGTTACCAGGTGTACAGACACCTTAACGGAGGGTGGCGAGGGGCAGGGACCGGTCTTGTGTCAGTGGTGCCCAGTGGCGGGACTAGAGGCAACGGCCTTGAACCGAAACACAGGAAGCTCTGCCTGAACAGGAGGAAGGACTTTTTGACTGTGAAGGTGGCAGAGCCCTGGAACAGGCTGCCCAGAGAGGTTGTGGAGTCTCCTGCTCTGGAGATCTTCCAAACCCACCTGGATGCCACCCTGTGCCCCGTGCTCTGGGTGTCCCTGCTGGAGCAGGGGGTTGGACTAGGTGGTCGCTAGAGGTGCCTTTCAACCTCAACCATTCTGTGACTCTGATTCCCCTTTCCTACCCTACAAGAAGCAGGTTCTACAGAAAGTCCCAGTGAGTTTTCCCTTTCTCTGACATACAGGAGTTGCTGAACAGACCTAGCCAGTGCTTGCACAGAAACAAGAGGCTGTTGGCAACCCTTCTGCACCTGTCACCACGTCCCGGTACACCAAGCAGCAATGAACAGCACATTTGGCAGAGCTAGCTCACATGCAGACAGTTACATTTCCTAGATGAATTCTCCAAGAGAGATTGGAATTCCATTACTTCTAATAGTTACAGCCTTAATACACTATTTTCCTCAGAAGCCAACCTAAAAAACTTTCCCAAGAAAATACAGTGCAACAGTATTTATACTTACCTACAATATAGAAAACCAAAAATGCAGATGCTAGAGAGCAAAGCTGAATCAATATGCCAATGTCAGCACATGTAATTTAGATACTAAGTTGTGTATTACTACACTATTAAAAGAATATTGAATAACCTATCTAAAAAAATGCCCCTACAGATCTCACTGTAATACATCCTCACTGCAGTATCTCGAAAAACAAGAGATTAAAAAATCATCCCTACACTGCTAGGAAAGTTTTTACTACTATAAAAGAAATCCTTTACACATTTCTCTTATTAAACTGATAATGAAGAAAAAAAGACAAAGAAGGTTTTAAAAATATATATATATTAAATCTTGAATAAATAGATTTCATTGTAGTTAAGTAAACAGACAAAGTACCAACAACAAATACAAACTTACGTTCACCAAATGTGAAGGCATTTTTTATACTTCATCTCTACTACATTATTTTAAGAACCTGATTATTGTTTTTTCCTGTTGTAAAATATTTGCAAAAATACAAGAGGCACATTGTCAAGAATAGTAAATCACAATTTTCATCACTTTTTCCATTATGTTTTATCCCATCTATGTGTATGGGAACTTCAAAAATAAATATCCAATAGGATAAGGCAACCCGGAAAACTCCACATCAGAATAATAACTTCTACACTGACGGGGTAAGAGGATATTATCAAAGATGTTGTAAAAGATTTTTCCATAGAAGTTGACTTTATGTTTTAAATATCAGCAAAACCCAAACCTTGAAAGACATTCTGAAAAGTTTTGTGCAAAAAGATTATTCTTGATGCTTTGACTTCCAGGTAGTTTTATATAAGTTCTTATAAAAGACTTCCAAAACGGAATTACTCTTAGAATGTTTTGTTTTGAATCATTCTATTTGCTAATTTACCGTTGTCTAACAAAATACATACAAAACCATGCAGGATAGGTTTGTGCTATTGAGGCACACACAAGCATGGTTTCAGCAAAATATTAAATAACAAACATTCATGAAAGATTAGCTATTGAACACGAAGCGCAGGCAGAGGCTGCACGTTTATTGCGAGCCCTCGCTCGGCTCCCTCGGCACGGCGCCGTGGGCGCCCCCCGCACCGTGCGCCCTCGCTGGCCCCAGCTCCTGCAGCTGCCTCCTCTGCGCCGCTTCGAGCTCCTCCAGCCGCTTGCGCAGCAGGGAGAGCTCCCTTTGGTGCTGCTCCTCCTGGAAATTAAAACAAAAAAGAACTTCTGTTACATTTGGAACACCTACAACAAGCAGGCTGGCTCATTTCCATTCTCAGGAGCAATTTTAAAATAAAATTGTGAAGTTCAGAATGTCCTTATGCTCTAAAAGGTTTTTTCCACAGTTTTTGTGGTTCGTGTTCAGGCAGTTGTCTCAAAGAGCACCGCTGAGAAACGCGCGCACACGCATTCCTGAACCTGCTTGGCACACTATGCTGAGGCCTCATCTCAGCTACCTAGAATCTGTAAATTCAGCCTGGTCAGCTTTAGTTAGAGAGATTTTCTCTCCCAGGAGCTCACTGAAATAAAGAAAGCGCCTTCAATCACACGAGATATCAAAGGCGGCAATATTCTTTTTTTTCTTTCTTTTTTTTTTTCACCTGTGGAAACCTGGTCTGAAAAGTAAAACAATAGTACTTCCTCATCCAAAAGGAAGCATTCAGAGGCCTCTCAAGAGAATGGGAGAGTATTGAGAAGAGGGTTAAATCTGCCTGTTTGCAGTGTTCTGAAGCACTGTGTCCTTGTCTTTCAAGAACTCTTGAGGAAGGGAACAGCACTGGGAGCATTCTTGAAAGCTCCCATCCCCTGTTCAGAGACCAAATATTCCGTCCTCAAGACTTAGGGCCTACAACTGCCCTACCGCCCTGTTTGGTTGCCTTAGCTTCCCTATTGCAACACACCAGCACCTGGAGCAGGGGAAAGGAGAGCTCTGGGCCCGGGGGCAGCGCAGATGATGACGCTGCCACGGCTGGATTGAGTGACGGTATGTCAGGGCTCAGAATCAAACTCCGGAACTCATTGTGTCGGCGCTGCAAGTCCTTCAGTCTCTTCTGGAGGCGTGTGTATTCCTCGTAGGAAACATTCTGCCTGTGGAATAAGAGATGTGTTACTGATCAAACCCATACACACACCTCTCCAGAAGCGCTCCGTTGTTTTCTGCATTTCAGAAGGAAAACAATATACCAGAAGGAACTGAAGGCACAAGATCTCTTTACATATTTCTGCCTAAATGACTATCTTGAAGTCCCTCTTCACCTTAGGCTAACTGCTGTATTATGGATTAGATGGAAGAAATTAAGATTTTAATAGCATTATCAGTAGTGAGCCACAGAAACCACACTAAATGAGTTATTTGAATCAAGCCCTCCCTAGGTGTTCAGTGGAGGGAAAAGGCCAGGAGCTTGGCTTTCTAGGAGCATGTTAGTTTTACTTGCAATTCTGTAGTCTTGTTATTTCCCGTCTTCTGTTTATTTTCATACTCTACTTCCAGCCTTAACACTGCTTCTCTGTGGCATCCCCTCTCTTTTTTAAAAAAATTTACCTATCTTCCTTCCTTTGAAGGGAGCCCTACAACTACAATTTGTTGTCTTCAGAAGATATTCTTTCTCCATTTTTCCCTGAAAAGAGACTGTCCTGCAGTGTGGTGAATGACCACACAAATACATAGCCATAGATAGACTCAATTCAAATAAGAATTCTAATGCTGAAAATGCCAATAAATCGGATCTCAGTTACTGAAGTGGCAGGTGCTTTATAAAATACATATCTGAGAGTCTGATCTTGGACATTTGTTGCTTTCCAAAGGATATATAAGATAAGAAAAACCAAAGTTTATTACCTATTTAGCACTTGATTTTCTTTTTCCAGTTCTTCTATCTTGGCTTCCAAAAGCTCCAGTTTCTCTTGCATCCTCCTGTGTTTATTATCATTAAGAGTCTTTCTCTGTCAAACAAGACATTTCTAATTGAGCCATATAATACTTTGATATACTAGATCCTGTCAAAGTTAAATCTATACTGCACATGCTCTCAAGCTGTGACACTTGATAGGATTTTCTTATTTTAACCACAGGCATTGTACTGTGTGAAGGTTCTGGAGCCCGTGAGGGGAAATAGAACAAAAAAGATGAGAAATGTGCATCTTTTAGGCACAATCAAGGTAAAGGAGACCATCATGGTACCTGAAACATCATCTTACTAAGTAAGGAAGAGCCCATCTTAAATTAAACTAAAAACGCACAAGAAAATTCACAAAATCTTTGATGATAGTTCAACAAAGTTGTTGGCTGTAATATTCTTCTACACATCCCTTCAGCCTACTTCTATGCTAATCTTGAGGAACTTGATTATTTTATTATGTCTTAACAGATTGCAGATAAACCCTTAAAACAATTCTAGCTGCCCATAGTAAACTGAGCTTTTCATATTCTGCATCATTCACAACAGTCAACATGCCTTTTTTTGAGCAACGGCAGCTCGGCACAGCTTGTTCTTCACTTGGTTGTATTTCTCTTCCCTTTCTGTGATACGCTGAGTAAGTTCGTGCTTCTCCTCCAGCCATTCAATACGTTTGTATTCTAAAGTCCTTAGAAAACCAAGCAAAGAGATTAGAAAGTTACATAGACAAAGCAGCGCTCTGGATTTTTATAGTTACTGAAATAGATGTTTATTTTTACAACTCCTGCCTTATATATTTAAATTTACTTGTGCTCAAGAGCCACCAGATTTGAACGTGTTTATCATCATCATCGGTTGTGTTCAACTATGAGAGGTAAGTTTTGAAAACAGATTCCCATGGCTAGTTAACTGTAGATGGCTCCATGTGTTGGCGTGTTGCCACACAGAACACAGGAAAATTCTAAATTCAGATCAAATAATTACCTGGAACACAGTGGTAGACAATTAAAGCTTATGCCAGACATCAGTTGTCAGAAGAACTGACAACAATCTTCTTTGTTTGGAAAATAAGATGTAAAAAGAGGTTGTTGCCATACGTGGCCTACTGCTCCTTTGGATTAGAGAAGCACGAGCCTGACTGAAGTGTGTTCCTGAGCAGAACAAACACCAAGACCACAGGAAGCCCCTGCTGACATGGTCCCTAGCCAACACAGCAGCAACAGGAACCAAACCAAGAGCTGCTCTGGAACTTTGCGTGGTTAGAACAGCCTAAAAATAGGCTGTATCCTTTGCCATTTCACTGGCAAAGGACACAGTTTCTTTCTTCAATTCTCTTTGTCTGGGTGACCTGCATTGTGTCCAGGTAAGAGCTTGCTACATTTTAAAGTATAATCCTGTACACCAAACACCAAATTTTAATAGTAGAATTTTCTGTGTGGTTCCAGTGCAATAATCTGCTCATCTGAAGTTACTAAACTGAAAAGCCATACTTAGATTAATGATGTCAGTGCAGTCAGTTTTATCATAGCAGGAGCACTTTGTAGTGAAGGCAAAATTAAAATCAAAAATGCCATATTCCATCTCACTGAAGTTCCCTGTTTGATCTGGAACATGAACCGTCTCAAAAATCTACCACACAAAACAATCCAGTAAAACTTAAGCATGTATTTGGTTATTTTGCTATGAAACACTAAATAGACACTTCAGGCTAACAGACAAATGAATCTAACTTCCAGGAAAGTGTTCATTACTGAGGCCTTGAACAATATTTGGTTTCCGTCAAAATTTATTACCATATTTTGATTGTATATGGTAAAGCTCATAGAGTAACGAAAAGACTGTAAAAAAAATCATTAATCATTAAATTGATTAGTTTTTTTGCTTAATGGGAACAACTTAATACTGCCCCAAGAAGCTTTTATTCACTTCATACCAGCTAAAAGGATCTGGTAAGAGGCGGGAAGAGAGAGAAAAAAAAAAAGCGTATTTACCAGCTCGGTCCCTAAAACCTTTTCAAAGCGTAATACAACGTTTAAACACTTTTTTTCTCCCCTTTATGCTAAAAACATAAGAACCATCTGCAATCTTACAAAAAAGGCAATAGAAGCTTGGCATTCACTTCAACAGAAACAAGATATTTTATAGACATAGTATATTGCCTCATGGCATATACCTAACAGAAGGTAAAACCATTTTCTACAGTTGTCCTAGATTTCCTGCTCAGGCCTGATTTCAGGCTTTATTCAGAACTTACAATCCACAGTTAATGGATACATGAAAGGAATACAGCAACAGAAAAAGACAAAAAAAAAAAAAAAGAAAAAAGAAAAATACTTCTCTGTTTCCAGTTGAGCTCTTTCTGCTTGACTTCTTGCATTTTGACATTCTTGTTTCAATCTTTCCACCATTTCTTTCAGCTTTTGATTAGAATCCAGCAAATCATTTTCTGACTGAGAAAGTGAGGCAACTTGGAGCTGCAAGTCATGAATTTGCTACAAAGAAATGCAAGTTTTCATTTGAGAAGATACATGAATAATTATTACCATTTAATTCTAAGAAACTAGGTTTTGATAAGCCTTTGTTATTTACTCTGTTTCTCCTTAGTCAACAGCCTCTCCAGAAGCTTTACAGTAAGTGGTAACCAGACAAGGAAAAAGTTTCCTGTTGTAGTTAAAATGAGAAAGGGGGGCACAAGTCATGAGCCTCTGCTATGTTTCCTAGGACCTCAGGCACCCTACGGGATGTCCCAGGGCTGTAGGGAACTAGAGCACCAACCAGAGAGAGCAGCCGAGCTCTGGAGCTGCACAGACTCTTCCCCCTCACACTGCTGACTCTGGCTGGGGGCAGCTTGGTGGCTGGAACAGTTGCTTTGCAAGAGCAAATAACTAAGAAGAGTCTTGCAAGTCGGCAACACCACAGTCAGCACATAGAGATGATGACTGTTTTCCTTTCTTTCTCCCCTCTGCATATGTGCACTCACAGATGCTCCTGATTTCTGGAGAAAAGATATAATGACTTGAATTTCAAGTGCATGCAGCTTGTGCTGCAGACTTCTTTGATGTACAGCTATGTTCTTACTTATTAAACAACAGTTTAGGCAAGCAGGAGTTAAGAGAATAAGGCTTTATTTCCAGCACTGTCATCAATTCACTTTGCAATGGAAATACACCTCTTTAGCTTATTCATTTATGAAACAACTGTTGAGCACTTGAGGAACTCAGATGAGAGGCACAGTCTAAATGCAAAGCATTAACTAGAAACAATTTATAAATCTCCATGGCAACTGAATCTCCAGTTAAATAGTGCATAACCATGCTCAATATACCAGTCTATAAACTTCCAGCTTTGAAATCCTCACTACACACAAAATTCATGCAGCAAAAGCTGTAATCCATTTATACAGGTCTAGAAAGCATATGTGATTTCAACATTTTTTTTCATTTAAATATCTGTTGTATATATATTGTTTCTCAGGAAGAAAAGCCTTAAAAATCCAATCTAATCTTCAAACACTGGAATTGGGCAAGAAAGATGGAATTTCTCTGTAAAACACTACAATGCAGAAAACCCTTACCTGTTTTAGATCAGCAGCTTCCGTTTTCTTCTCTTCCAGCTCCTCTGTTTGAATAGCTTGCTGTTGAATTTTTAATCTAAAATTGTATACAACATCCTTATTTTTATCTAAATAACATACAGCTGTTAGAAATGCGGACACTTCTGTCCAGCAATAGAATATATTGTATAAATATTCAGCAGTCTTCCAAATTACTAAACAATAATTTAAAGGGCTATTTTTATTGATGACTAGAATTCATACTGGTAAAAGAACTATGTTGATGTTTGCTGTTAGAATATGATTTTCTTCACCATGCCATTTATATGAAGGGCAGTATGATAAAAAGAGTAAAATAACTTCACTGAGGACTCTAATAACCAACTCAGAGAGAGGACCTATTACAGTTCTGGTTTATCAGTTGCTGATGTTACTCCACTGTGGAAAAAAACACACGAATGCTGGGCTATGCCAGGAGCCAACGTGGAGTCTTTTTTTTTGTAAAATTATCTCTTTAAAATGTTTATTAAAACAAAAAGGTTTTCTTCCAAACTTCTAAAATTTAATACTTTTATAAACAGCATATCTTTCTTTTACAGAGATGTTTCATTTACAGTAACGCATTTATTTACCTATAAATAATAATTCTCTATACTGAAAACTGTAAAGAAATCAGGAGACAAGCCTTTGTGAAATTTGTTTTAAGGTTAGAAAAGCCACATTACCGTAGTCGCTGAAGTTCCTTTTTGCTAGATTCTTCTGCCATTTGTACAACACGCAGTTTCTCTTCATACTGATCCTTTTCAGATTGCCTCCAAGTATCTTGTTCAGCTTTCATCTTCTCTAGATCAGCTAATCTGTTCTCAAGTTCCGACCTGACACAGCATTCAATATTTACACAAAAGTCATGTCAAATGACAAAAAAAAAGTGTTTAGCTGCTAAGCATACTTGAATAAGTTACTCAAAAAGTCTTCCCCAGCCCTTTTAGAATTTGAGCAATAAATCAACACACATACTTTTCATCCTGTAATACTGCAATTTTTTCAAAAACTTCCTCTTTGGCAGCCTGCACTTTACGAATTAGCTCCCGGTCCTTTTCAACTAAAAGCACCTTATGACGTTCAACAGCTGCTTTCAGAATTTCATTGTCTGATAACAAACCTGAATTTAAAAAAAAAAAGTCATGACTGTTATCAACATGAGGATATCCAGTATTATAATAACATTGTACACTAGTAAAAGGGAGCTGAAATTCACAATCCATATTCCAACATGAGGAGGGAAAACATAATAGACTAGGCCTGTTTTAGTCTAACAGCAACATGTCAGTAAACTTTTGAAAAGCAACTATTCTGTGGGAAGCTCTGGCTACACAGGCTTCTTATTTTAAGAAATGTGAGGTAAACAACTGGTATTATTTAAAATCCAGAGCAATTTCTGCTAAGCAGTTGTGCCTGGATAAAAATGCTCTACTATAGTTATGAAAGATAGAAAATGTATTATTTTCACAGAAGAAGAGATGAATTTTACAGAAACAAATAACCAGTCCCGTAGTGAAACTGCAATAACTGGTCTACAGCAAATCTCCCATTTTCACCAGTCAGTTTAGATGCAGGGAAAACAGAAGAAGCACCAATAATGTTTACATGTAACATCGGTTACAAATTTGGGGGGCGGGGTTGTACCACCATTAAAAACAGAAATCTCAAAAAAACACTCCACAAACTTGAGAAAATATTCACAATGAGAAATCCTACCAAATGAAGCAATTCTGAAAGTTGTGACTCTACATACAGAAACTAAAGATGCAAATCAAAAAGAAAAAAAATGCAGCCACGGCTTATGTGTTCACTGGCAAATAGAAAAACACTCTACAGCAGGGACTGCTGTTTATTTTGCTAATTCGGTGATAAAAACTGGATTCCACCACAATTTAAGTTAGCTTACAGGCAGATGATTTTGTGAAATTTAAAATCTTGTTTGCACCTACTTTCATACTTTTGCTGCTCCAACATTTTTAGTTTGCAAGATACTACAAAAGTGTGTTGTCAGTACAGAAATTGACACTTTTTAAATGCTCTCAGGAAACTAAATATTAAAGCATGTGAACAAAAGCAACTGCTCCTGGAAGATAACAGTACTATTTAGGTGTTATGGCACAGACTCACACATTGAGGACAGTCCACCTGAGAGCTGCATGCTGATTTAAATCATCAGCATATAACTAGTATCAGAATACTAGTACTGTTTTCACTCTGGAAGGTTGTTTCAGGTTGCCTACAGGGTCAGATTTGAATTAGGTAGCCTACACTACTGCCTATTTTATTTCAAGAGTGATCTAAAATCTATATTTTTTTTTTCACATGAGCACCTTACTTGACTGTCCGTTTCATGGATGCAAAATCACAGAATCACAGAAAGGCTGAGGTTGGAAGGGACCTCTAGAGATCATCCAGTCCAACCCCCCTGCTCCAGCAGGGACACCTGGAGAAAATCAGAGTACAGAATAACCACTGAAACCCTAGATATGTTAAAGTCTCAAGCAAAGTGCAAGTCTGAAAAAAATTAACCTATAAAATACATTATTTGAAAACGATTATGTTCAAATTGTATCAAAAATTCACTAATTTATATTAGTGTAAATTGTTCTGTAATTGTTCTTCTTTACCCTAGTAAGAATGAATTTTCAAATCTATCATCTGGACTAGAAGTAGAGATTAAGATCGCTGGGGGATGATTAGAGGAAAAATAAATGTAATATCATTGGATAGTAACTGGAACTTTTGTAACTGGAAGTTACAAAAGAAATCATTAGAAATTAATTGCACATTTTACCATCCATTTCACTTTGAATCCTGTTCCGCTCTCTTTCTACCTCACTCTTTGTTCTTGCTGCCTCCAATTTGACATTGGTTACTTCTAATTTATGTGAATGTTTAAGTTCTTCTACCTATGAATTAGAAAACAAAAACCAAATCAACTGAAAATAAAAGTAATTAGCAGCTTTAATGAACGTTTTTTTCAAGTGCTACTTCACTAACAAGAAAAACTTTTAAATAATGGCAACTTATGCTTATTTTACATATTTCTTTAAAAGTATTTTTTTATCCACTGCTTTCCTGAAAATCATTCCTGAATATCCGCTTTCGTAGGTCACTTTAATCATGTTCACGCAGACTTTGTACCACTAAAGCTTATTGATGTGATCTGATTGCCCAAATGATACTCAGGGCTACTACAAGTTTTCATTAATTCCTTGAGTCAGACGTTGACAATTCATGAATAAACTGCCATCATTTTAAAATGTAAGTTTTGTATATTCACGATTAAAAAAAGAAATAAAAGTAATCAAATACAAAATGCATTACAAGAACTGGGCTGTCCAATTATGGACATGTACTCCAAAGCAGCTAGTGATAACAAACTACAGAACGGAAAGGTTATTGTTTTAAAAACACTTGGTGAAATATGCCGAAACACACAGGATTGCCTATCAAAACTTTGTTCCTGAGCAAATACTACACATTCTGCAGAATCAAGCTAGAAAAAAGTTAAGAGGTATTCTACCTAAAGTGAAACAAAACAGTGATATGCAAAACCAGAGTATCAGTTATTTCTTCAAGTCATTTCCATTTGACAATATCCTGGAGTGCTACGCTACTATCTCAAAATCCAGGTTATCATAGTTTTGAAGTGCCTTTTAAATCAAGTACTTCTCCACAACTGTGACATGCACATCAAACTGCCTCATAAAAGCAGCAGTTTTAAGAACACCAAATTATCAAAGACAATTACTGCTTGCATGGAAACTTTCTATAGTTTAGGCATTTCTACACAGTAATTACACGGTCAATGAGAATTAAGTACCTAAAGGAAAGCACTTATAATGAAAATCCATTCACAGTGACAAATGTAATTACAACCTGCTAGCATATACAAGCGGCAAAAGGTTAAGAATGACACAGTAGCTTATTAAGTAACTACACTGTGGATTTGGTTGCTTAAATATGAAGTTGAGAACATTCCAGGGTCACCTGCAAATTTTTAAGGTGGCTTTTTTAAGGCACAAAATCCAGAAGATAAATCTGTATACTAGAGCTCAGGAATCAGACTGAACTGATACAGAAAAAGTGTCAGGGGAGATGTGTTCGGTAACGTGTTTCTACTCTTCCTCCCTTCAAGAAACACCACTGAGTATTTTAATTTTCTCCTACTTCTGCAGGCAAGCAGAGAAGACCAATCAACACAATGTCAAGACTGTGACCACCTATTATATATATTCTGAAAGGTTACTCATAAAAAAGGCTTAACAAAACAAAAAGGGTTTTTTTAAATGAAGATACAAAGATGTTTTTTCTTTTTTATCCATGACTCTACTTCCCACTTATTATTCATGCTCGAGAAGTTAGACAGGCTGTAAGCAGGTTTACAACAGTGATGTAGTTATATTCTACATGTTATATCCTAGTTCTTACAGTAAACTAGACTTTCTTGGATTCAGGCCAAAAACTGAAATAGTCCATACACAGAGATTACAAAAGCTGAGTACTGTAAAGCCTGTTTTGAATGACTTCTGAGACCGTTAGGAACTATGGAAGGAGTCGGAGCACTTTTCCTGTATTTTATCTTCTCTGAGGCCTATTATGCTAGGATTGATTGTCACAGCAGTACAAAGCACATGTCTGCCTTTGTGGAAAGTATATTCAGAAATTCAGGAGAGCTTTAAGTTGACCTAGAGGTTAAAACAATTCGGCATTCGACTGGAAGTACAGGACCAAACATAACCTGAAACCTTTCCAGAAGAATGAGAAAACACAGGGGATTAAACTTGCTACCAGAGCGGGACATTTCCAACAAAGCTACACTGGCATAAGCCCAAGCAGAGTGCAACTACTGTGATTCTCCTGTTTCTACCAGAACGTAAAACTCAGCGGGTGACTCCAAGCCAGGAGCTAATTGCTTCCTGTAGGCAATGCAGCACATTCAGGGCAAACTTTTTACAGTCTCCAGAAGCCCTATCTTAAAGAAATATATACCTATATTTTTTTCAAGTTCCACCATGCTTTATGAAAGATGAAAGGTTGTTTCCATCAAATAAGGCTATCCTCATGAGTAATAAAAATATGAATGTAAAGTGTTCAAGCACTTTTCTGTTTAGAAAAAATAATCTAGAGAATGATGTAAAAAGGGTATAACCACAGTCTCTAGAGATATACCTATGCTTTTCCTGTAAAATCACATATTTTAAATCTACCTACTGAAAATGGAAAAAAAAAACCACTTCAATTCACAGCAGAAAAAAACATTACCTTATCTCCTAATATAAAGGCAAAAAAATAGGAAAAACGTGTTTCAGATATGATAAAAGCACTTACTTTAGCAGCTAATGAATTGACTTCACGTTCAGATTTGTGAAGTTTGCTGGTTAAAAGAATGTTTTGCTCATGGCTCATCTGCAGTTCTTTCTCAATGCGATCCACCTGTTGTTCAGCTGACTTTTTTTCTGCCTTGAAGAAAGAAGATGTTTGTAAGGTTTCTAGAGCAGTGTATTCACCTGTATGGTTCAAGTTTTTGCCTTTCCAGATATTACTGCTATCATATATACAGCAAAATGTTTATCTTTGTCGGACAATATGTTCCAATAAAGTACTCAAAAATAAAAGATTTTTTTTTCTAACATTGCTCATATACATCTTCAATTTACAAGACAGAGGTAATAAGACTTACTTAAAAAGCAGCAAGTATTTGTATCAGTAAACTGCTTGGATCTAAACATGGGCGTGCACTAAGCAGTACTCAAAGATGTCATAAGTTGTCCTGCACAGTTATAATAGCCAAAGAGTTAACTTCATAGAGAGGGGGAAAAAAAAAGTAATTATTGCTAATATAGACTGAAGACCCTGAGCTTTAATAAATTATCAAAGGATGGAATTTGGCAGTTCATGAGTCCTATTTGTTTTTAAAGCTGAAATTGCAAAATTTGCAATTTTGTCTTCTCTTGTAAAACCAATGGAAAAATTACCAGGGATTTCAGCAATAGTTTCATCAGGCCAAGTGATTACCCCCATTACCCTCCACAAGGAGACACAATAAAAACCAGAAAGAAAACAATCTCACCTCTAGAGATCTGGCCATAGTCTGCATCTCAGCTAGCTGTCGTACTTGGACCCTTTGAACATTTTCTGCTTGTACACCACAGTTGTCTCTTTCTGCTCTCAGTTCTGCTACTTCTGCTTCCAAGCCTTTCAGCTTCTGATGCAGTTGTGCCTTTTCTCTGGAGAGTACCTCCACGCGCTTACTGTCCCTTGTGGGATCAACACTAAGCAGCTGACTATGGAGTTCTTCTTTATCTTTATCCAGCCTTGTTATCTGATAGTTGTTAATCAGAAAACATAAACCTCTATATTAGTTGGCTGCCAGACAGTTAAAAATATTCTGGAAAAAAGAGCAATGTGCATTTAAAAATTAAGAAAGAAATTATATTTATGTTTATTTTCCTTATTAGAATAGAGTAATCAAAAGGTGCATTCCTTAATGACTTTTTTGCTTCTGTTTTCACTGCTGAGGTTTGTCCTCGGGCCTCCCAGGTCCCTGAATCTCCTAAGAGTTTAATAGAAGTACTACCCACAGTAAAGGAAGAAAGAGTAAGGAATCATTTAACTCACTTGGACGTAGACAAATCTATGAGACTACATGGAATACATCCAAGGATACTGAAGGAGCTGGGTGATGCCATTCAGACACCTTGCAGAAGTCATGACAGACAAGGAAAGTTCCTGATGACTGGAAAAAGGCAGATATCACTTCCATCATCAAGAAAAGCAAGAAGGTCAAGAAAGTAGGTAACTAACGATCCATGGCAAGTCTTCCTAGAAGCTACTTCTTAGCATACAAAAGACAACATGTGACTGGAAACAGGGCTTACCAAGGGCAAATCATGGCTGACTCTACTTCTCTGCTTTCTGGGATGAAGTGGGTGGTGCTGTGGACAAGGAGAGGGCAGTGAAAGTGGCATAGTTTGATTTTAGCCAGGTCTTTGATTCAGTCTCCTATTGGTCTCCTTTGCCAGCTTGAAAAGATATGAGCTAGATATATGGATGATAAATTGTGTAGACACTTGACTGCACTGCCAGGCTCAAGAGTTGTGATCAGTGGTGCTAAGTCCAGTGGATGGACTGTAAAAAGCAGGGTCCCTCAGAGATCAGTACTGGGTCCAGTACTGTTTGATGACTTCATTAACCACCACCATGACAGGATCGAGCAGACTCTCAAAAAATTGTAAATGACATCACTAAACTGGCATGAATGGGCAATATGCTGGAGGGCAGAGCTGCTATTCAGAGGGAACTAGACAGTCTGGATAAGTGGGCTGACTGGAACCTCTTGAGGTTCAAGGAGAGCAAGGATGAAGTCATGTGTGTGAGATGAAGTAACCCGGTGCAGCAGCAGTAGCTAGGATTCACTGTCCTGGAAGCAGCTCCACAGGAAGGGATCCAGAAAGGGTGGAAACTGTTCTAGTAGACACCGAGCTGAACACAAATCAGCGATGTGATGCCCTTGCAGCAAAGAAGGTCTACCTGCATCCTGGGATGCACTGGCAGAAGCACAGCCAGCATGTCCCAAGAAGTGATCAGCACTTGAAAGACCGTATCTGGAATGTTAAGTCCAGTGGAGGAAGGACCTTGTTATGCACCAAGCAGAAGGACACCAAAATGGTCAAGGGGCTGGAGGTCAGCCTGAAAGAACCAGGCCTGTTCAGCTTGGAAAGAGATGGCTTAAGGGTGACCTTTCTCCCTTCTACAACTACCTGATCAGAGGATACAGAGACAATGGATCTAGCCCTTCTCAGAGGTGATAGGAAGAGAGGCAACAGACCCAACTTGGAATATGCCAATTAGATATCAGGCTTTCTTTATTTCTTTAAACCATGAGAGGGGTTAAATACTAGACCAGGTTGTCGAGGAAGACTGTTAAATCCCCATTCTTGGAAATACTTATGATTTTACTGAACATGGCTCTGAGCAACCTGATCCAATTAGACCTCTTCAGAGCTGGGTGTTGGACTAAATGTATGAAGGTCCCCTCCAACCTCAACTATGATTCTACAATTCTACAGTTACAATAGTACTCAAACCTACCAGTAGCTCATGGATAGCATGATTGCCCCATCAGACAGAAGACTAAGCAATAAAGAAAATTGTAAAGAAAAGTTAGTAAAATAGATATGAACTAATCTTGAGATTGTAACTGGTGGACACAGTCTAAATACACAGTTCTCAGTATTTCAAAACAAGTTATATGGACTGAATATAAGGTGAGGATTAGTGATGAAAGAATAAGAAAGCAAGGTCTGGAAGAGATTGAGTTCTCTCAATGCTGGGAAACTATATTCTGAACTCTGAATTGCACCAGTGTGCTTTTACAAATTTCATTAAGGACCTCTGTGGAAAAAAAGTCAAATTCTGCAGCAGAATCCCTCCAATCCCATTTATGTGGAGATCCAAGAATAACTGCATGATATGCCCAAGCCATCAGTTAGGAACTGTGATGCTTTTGTAGTCTCCCTGTGCCAAACAGTGTGGGACAGTAAGAAGGCTGCAAGAACTTGAGCATTTCTCATATTCAGCTGTAGCTTGAAAGAGAGGAACTAGGACACATTGTGCCCTGGGCTCAAGGTAATCCCATCCTCTGTAACTGTGCTAGTCAGCTGCAGAATGAGCACGAGTCCAACAAGGCCACGAGAGAGGCAGCCTGTAAAGCAGCACCTGGGGGGAGCTCTGAGAAGGAAGACTCTTCTGTTGTTAATGTGTTGCGCTTGTGAATTTGGATGCATTTTGAAAGTGATGATTGCTTTTGATTTATGTCTGGACTAATACATTCAAATCTGGCATCTTGGGATGTACTCTGAGACAAATACTTAAATGACATATGCAAATGATATATGCAATTTTCATATACACCTTCGCATATATTTAAAACATACATAAGCTGGCAATTTTTTTAACCATACTTTTGCAAGTCCAATTCTGAAACAAACAAACAAAAAACCCAAAACAACAACAAAAGATTTATCCAGAAATGAACATAACTTAAAAATAATTAACAGAGTTTTCACCGTCCTTTTCACCATCACTGTCACAGACCAACTTAATTTCAAAATTTACCTTTGTCTGGCATTAAGAATATCTTCTGTTGCCTTCCTGTTGGATTAGTTTCTACATAAATCATTTAAAATTCAAATTTACATTAGTTGATCAGATAACCTATTAATTTCAGATTAGTGCACTGTCTCAAACTCTGCCTAACTATGCGATTTAAAAAAAAAGCATTTAGGCAAAGGCTGTCACTTATCAGAAGGTAAGTCTTATTTATAACAGTACAAATGATATTACAACACATCACTCAACAAGCCTACTGAGACAGCTTAATTCTCAAAACATTTTTATGACTTAAGGGAAACAGAGACTACATTATGAAATGATGGCAAACTGACAATATCTACATTATGAAAGTATGGCAAACTGACAACATCAAAGTACCAAGATTTTCACAATGTTCACGCAACTTTGTCATCAGATACACTTTAAGCTATTGTAACACTTCACATACCTCAGCCTCATATTTTATTTTTTTCTCCTCCAAAATACGTGCATGTTCCTCCTTTTGATGTTCAAATTCTGACTTTAGAAAGGTATTCTCATAACGAAGTTTGTTGTATTCTGTTCTGTATTTTTCCACTTCCTAAATTAGACAATAAAACAAATAGACTCAACCAGAGAAGGATTCAGATTTATTTCCTTCAAATGTTCATTCAGTGTTCCCATCACTTTTGAAGTTATACTTTCCAAGAGGGTTCCTCTTTCGCCCCTTTCTTGGATTTCAAGATTCACTACTGGAGCAACAACTCTAATACTAGACTGATGAGGACTGTCATACTTTACTCCTCTTGCCAACTTCAGTTTTCATTTCCTAACGTTCCTATTCTGAGGAATAATTATAAATTGGTCGTCACTATCACTGCTCTAAATGAAACAAATTTAAATGCTTATTACTTACATTGTCTAACTTCTTCAGATGCTCTCTCATAGGAGATTCCAATTCCTGCTGTATTTGTGCTCTTAGCAATTCCAATTTTTGAGGAGTTACCACCTTAAGAAAAAAAGCTTTCAGTAACTAGTCATATTCATCTATTTTTACTGGGACAAACAGTTAAAAATATTTCAAGCATGATTTTAGGAAACTGGTTGAATTTTCTATGTCCTTTTTTTTTTTTGATGATCATTACAGAAGCAAAGGAACATGATATTAGCTAACTAAGCTAACTAAATATGTTCTGGGAATACAAAAGAAGCCCTTAGAATGTCACATTTTGCTGACAGAACTAACAAAGATGTAGAGGTAAATTGCCAATGAATTTGTCTCCTTCTGGAGAAGAAAAAAGAAACGTCATAAAAAGTAAAGCATTTTGTCTGGAAAAACTTTCCAAACGGTAAATAACCCAAACCCATTAGTAAAACTGAAGAATATCAAGTCCATTCCTTGTAAAACACATTATTTGCCATGCTTAAGGAAAAAAAAAAAAAAAAAGCTATCTCAGTACCTTCTTTCAAGTGCAAATGTGAGGTCACACATGCAAAGCAGTACCAACATGGTTCTGGGTTTGAAATGAAACTGCGATCAGGAAAGATTTCCTGCTTTTCTGTCAATACTACAACATGGTATTTTGGTAAGAATAGTCTTGGGTAGAGTCAATAACAGCAAATTAACTACCAAGAGGTTTTTTTTGGTGGTGGTGGTTTGTTTAATTTTTTTAAAGATAGGCATTGATAACCTGTGACAGATCCTACTTTGTTCAATATCCCTCATTTTTCCTCCATTCAGAGTATAGGGATTGCCTCCATTTACCTGGGGATGCTTTAATAGATGCTGTATTTGCTTCCTAGGAACATTAGTTTATACAAAGACTTCTAATACAGTCCAAAAAGCAACCTAAAAGTTGGGTTGTTCAGCCATATCGGAATCACCGCAATCCTTCCAGTTCTGAAAAGCTGATTATATCCAAGTATGTAAAGTGCTTGACTAAATACCAACACCTGTAGAACATAAAGTGTTCCTGGAAGGGAATGCTATGTATTTCTTTTGATGATAGAGTGATTATTACAAAATTTCACCTTTAGCAGATAATAGGCAAGAAACCAGCAAATAAATCTGAAAAAACAAATGAGCTCTTATTTTTAACCAAGTCACTGAAAAGCCATTACTAGTCATGGCCAAAGTTTGTATAAGTAAATATATTCCCATACAATGATAGCAGCATTAGTATCTCAGAAGATTTAGAGGATTTGAGAAGTGGATTTGAGAATTTAGAGGATTTGAGATTTCTCTAGGGAAGTCATTCATGAGTTGAAATCATTTAACCTAAATCTAGACACCTACATGTTAACCAGTTACCTTCAGATCTCTCTCTAGGGAATCATAAATACATCCTGCACTAGTTTAAAGAAACAAGCAATTACAGAAAACATCATCTAAGACATCTTAAATGTTTTCTTTCTTTTTTTTTTTAAATGGCCACCATGGAGAGACACCAATATCTATTTCTGCACTCACTAACGATAACACATTTAGGAGTGTAAGCTCCTAGTGTAGAGCAGATGATTCTGCCTGTAACAGGAAAAATGCACCGACAGAACGCTTTCTCAGAGACTGAGAATCTGACTATTAATGCAGAATACAAGAGAATATGAGAGACCAGTTGAACAAGGAAAAAAAAAATCAACCCACAATCACTCCAGAGAAATATATGCATTCTTTATTCTAGCAGATAAACAGAAATAGAAGTGTGCCCCTTAATACAGCATTAAAATTCATATTAAGCTCTGACAGTAACATATTTCACCTGCATCTTCAGTTCTTCCAGCTCTTGCGTTTTACCCAGCAACTCCTCTTGATATTCAGCAAGGAGAAATTGAAATTTGTCATGTACAGTTTGCTTTTCAACTAACAACCGCTTCAGCTCATCTTGTGATTTTGTATATTCCTCCTGTAACCTGCAGGACAAAGCACAAAGTTACCGTTATGAACTTATTAGCAAACTTATTATTACTATTATTATTTATCTCCTGATAGAATGGTATCTATCTAAATATCACCTCCTTGTAACGCATTGAAAAGTGACACCATACTTACAAAAGTATCAAGTATTTTGGAAACATTGACTAACATGTATTAAGGTAGTTTGATTTTTTTTTTAAATGAGCAACTCTCAGATCTGTCCTTAAATACAGAAATAGTTCACAAAAAAAAACGCATCTACATAACATTTAGCTTCACCTTTTAACAGCTAGAATGAAGAAACATGCTTAAAATAGCATACCTTAAATGTTCTGCCTTTAGAGTTTGATAATTTGCTTTATGGTGTTCACATCGCATTTTTTCATCAATCAAAAGTTTTTGCAGCTCTTGTGCATTAGCGGTGTCACCATCTCCAACCATAGGAGGCAGGAGGCCACCAAAAGTATCCATTCTACAATGACTATTCACAATGATTATTGAGAAGATATAAATTAATTTATAACAAATCTATAACGGCATCCACTTTTTTTTTCTGATGATGACATCCCAGAAGATCAAGTCACCTGACACAAACAGAAGGACATATAATTAGTAATGAAGCATATCCATAATTCAAAGACTTAACATACTGCTTTTGTTTCCAGCACAGAAAAAAAAAGCTGCATCTGGAAGGTTCCTCCTAGAAACCTCCTACCTGAAAGGGCAGCTCTTCTCTGTTCATTCTGCCTGCCCTGAAATTTGGTAGCCCTTGCAGGGCCACAGGACAGATTTAATAAATGAGATTATTTGAATCGATACAAAATAAGCACAGGCATCTCAGACTGGCAGATAAATTAACTGCTATCTTTACTTTTGGTGTTCACCAAGAATCAAACTGTGATGCTAATTATGCCCCCTTAGCAAGGGTTCAAACAGAGGTCACAGGCTTCAGAAACAGTTTTTACTACTACTTATCACAGTCACCATGCTCTTCACTATCCTGACAAGTTGTTCTACTCAGTACACCATCAATTCAGTAGGAAGAATGCAGATGATTCGCCCGATGAATTCGTAATCAAACAATCTCCAAAGAAAAGTTAAGGCTTCACAAGAAGCTATCTGCCAGACTGTCCAAAGTTCAGCTCTGAAATACACCACTGACATGCATCATTTCCTCCTTTTCAAAGTGTATTGGGCAGTTTCTTTTGCTCTTTCTGGAAAGAGTTTTGCTAAGTGTGGCAATTCGAGATTGGTGAGAAAGCTGCAGCTCACCAGATGCTGAGAAATGGGGAAGTATCATAAGTTCAATTCTTTTCGATATTAGGAACAAGATACTGTATTAGACTCAGTGACTCTTCTAAAGGAGCTGAAGGAAGGAGTTTTGTTACCAAATTGTAGGGAGGTTAAAAAGCTTTAAAACTAAGTACTGCCATTTTAGGTTTTGGCATAACTGGATCATGACTAAGAACTTTGTATTTGCAGCAGTGTACAAAATAAAACTCAAAGAAGAGCAAATTTAAATCCTGGCATCATTGCAAATACTTCACCTTCACATATAGAGTTAAATATATAATATTTCCTACATTTCATTCTCTCTTAAAATCTTTCATGGACCCCACACTTGGCATTTGATTCTATAAACTTCTGATTTAAAAGCAAGATCAAAACACATCTTCCAGATAGGAAAAAAAAATAAAAAGAAGCATATTTTTACCTATTCAAACAAACCCTTGTGTTTCAGTTTCTTTCCTCTTTTTTTTTCCCTTTACTGTTAAGATGGGAAAAGGTCAGATGGAAATCTACCAGTGTAAGCAACTGTCACTATAATAGCATAGGCAAAGTCATAGCATCAACTTCTTTCTCCCTAGTGGCTATCCTATTTGTGCATCCTTTTGAGAATTAATCCCTATATATAAAAAAAAAATCTGAAGAAACCTCTACTCAATATAGTAACTGTTTTTCATCCCTGAGTTTTTTTTTTGCTGATGTTGAGAATTAAAAAAAAAAAAGGACAAAAGCAATTTCCAAAGTCAGGACTGTTGCATTTTCAATCTGTAAACCAACAGCCATATGAGAAAAATTGCTCAGTGCTTCTAAGTACATAAACTATGTGAGACAACAGAAAGTTTTGGTACACAGAAAAAAGCCCAGGAATCACATACCTAAGATCTTTTAAGCATACAGAAAGCATTATCAAGGTGACTTGAAAAAATAAATAATAATCCACAGTATTTTCTCTCAGAAACTCTCTTATATAAACTATGAGAACCAAACAAACCAAATTCAGGATTGGGAACACAGGAGTTAAAGCTGGGACTAAATTCTCTTATCTTACATGAGCAAAAAGTACTTCTGAAGTAGCATTAATATATACAAAATCAAAGATCCTCCCATCCACACTCCTAAAAAAAGAATTTTCCTGAGAACAGAAATACTAAAACTAAATGGAAGAGCAGAAATGCAACCTTCTGTACTCTCAGTTTTAATCTGATGCAGCTCAGAAATACAGACTCATGTGACTTTTGCCGTTATCAAAAAGTCCACAGATTTTAAAGCGTGACACACATCCTGTCATTTGCACAAAGATTTCATGAAAAAGAAAAAAAGGAAAGGGCATGAAAAAATATAGCTCGCAAAATAGCTGTTTCACCCTTTAAAAATCAACGGGGTGTTGATTTTTAACAGTTAAGGAAATAAGCTATTTTGGCTTACAGAGACATCTTGTGGCAAGTTTCATGATCTGCATTCCCAGTAACGATTAGGAGAACTACAAAATCAGACTTCATTACTGCCCTTCTTCCCTGAATCTGTCTACAGAAACATAATAGTTAACATACTTTCTTATAAATAAAAAATAAAGATTTTTTTCACATCTAATTAATAAGCTTCATTTTCAAATATAAAATAATTCTTGCTGGTGAGCTGTGAATATATAATATCATTTCAGGGCTACATAAGGCATAAGTGTACAGCTACCAAGCTAGGAATCTCTTCTGTGCTAATGACATGCAATACTTGCTCATGGTCAATGATCAGATCTTAAATAACCTTCACAATTACATATTTCTAAAATTAGTTCTCCCCCTATATTTCACAGAATCACAGAATGGTTGAGGTTATAAGGGACCTCTAGAGATCATCTAGTCCAATATTTGCCAGTTTTTATCACCTTACAGAACTGCAAACTTGTATGGGTTACCACAAAATTATCTTTTGGCAGAATTCTAGATCTTTTTATGTGTTCACTTCTTCCCTCTCCAGGCAGTGAACATCTTGTGAAATAATACAGCTACTTGAATAAGAAGAATAAGAAGCTCAAAGGAAGCACATGGCCTCCTGCAAGTGCCTCTTCAAATACTCAGCATTCCCAGCCCTCCCTCAGAACCTACGCAGAGCCAAGTCTAGTTAACGAACTAATGAGAAGGTGCAACCCAGTTCAACAGCTCATTGTCACCAGAAATGGGAGGTTCCACTCCTTTTTCCATCCTCGCTCCTAGAGCTAAGACCCTTATGACAATTGATTTAGGTCAATAAGGTAACAGAAAATTAACCGAGTAAAAACTACTCAACAGTTTTATGTGAGGTCAGTGAGTCATGCTGGCTCACGGAAAAATCCAACCAGCGCCAGAACAGGGAAAGCAGAGAGTGGGAACTGGTTAGGGGAAAGAAACACGGAGGCAAATCAATGGCCAGAAGAAGAAGCAAGACTTGAAGTCAGGCAGGTATCACATATCTTTTGCACTATACCATGGCAAGATTCCTCCAAATACACACAAAAACTTTTGCTTACTAGAGTGTATTTCAAAGTTTTATTCAGGCCTACAGACATGACAAGTTTGCCACGAATAGTTTGATACTTCACAACCAACACTCTGCTTTCATTTCTACTCACAAAGCATTTCACATTCATATTAAACACTGCAATATTCAGATAAGACATACATCACATCTTAGCACACACATTCCACAGTGCTCCCATGTGCAGCAAAATAAATACGCACTTTGCATATTTATTGTGGACAAGGAGCATGTGAGACAGAGTAAGTCACTGTGACATTCATGCTGTCAAATTTCCTTATGGATATAGAAACTTGTATTATGCTAACATGTCCTTACTAATGTTGGTACTACACTAATATGGGGGTCAAACACCATGAAATGCAGAAAAATAACCAGCATCCTCTGCGCATGGATGAACACTGCTGGTGGAGAAAATAATGTGAGAACACACACACAGAGTGAGCTCTTTCTGTCTGTGAGCTCCGCTGTTTGTTCTGGGCAATCCCCAAGCTCAGGGGTCACCAGCCCATCACCAGCTGCTGGAGGCCGCAGCAGCCGTTAACACCGGGCAGGGACACAACGGAGAAGAGGACAACGCTGCGGCACCGACTGCTCACGGGCTTGCCGCTTTCCGCTTGGCAACGGCGGGTGCAGAGCCGCGAGCAGGGCCGCAGCGACTCCCAGCTCGCACACCGCGAACTAACACACCAAGCAGGAGGACCCCAGACCACCCACCC